GGCTGGGTCGTAATTGCGAATGCAAAGCGGCGCGCCGCGCCGAGGTGCGTCTGCCAGCGGTTTTTAAATGCAGCGTTAGATAATAACGTGTGCTGCACATAATGCTGTCGGGAATTCGTATGTACTTTGTAGGCGGAGCGTTTCTGTGGTATCTTTTGTCCGGGTGATATAAAAATTCCTGAAGGTTGTTAATCCTGTCGTCTGCACAAAGCGTCAGAAGGTTACAAAATAAGGTTGGGAAACGGGGGGGGTTGCAGGGTTTAATGACTGAAGTTGTACAGAATGTTTGTTAATGGGGGAAGTGGCCTAGACTTCCTAAATCTACGGAATATTTATGAATACATAAGTGAAATAACCTTTAGCAGCTCCTCCTATAAATTTTGTAGCACCAGGAAATTTCATGTAAGGAATTCTTATTAAAAAAAAAAAACAAAACAAATCTCCATTGATGTATGAATGAATGAAGCACATCACCAAAAACAGTCTGTGCTCATGTGGAGGGAGATTTTGGTGGTTTGGTTTCACAAAATACACCTAATAAGTGATAAAAGTAACTGGACATGAAAGACAGAGGAAGGAGCATGTCTAGCAAGAGTTTTGGAAGTGACTGAACTGCATGCTCTTTCTTTTTTCTTCTCCCCTTCCCCCAGACACTTGTTTGAATGGAACCTTAGGTTAAGGGTACTCATGAAAAAGTATCTTCTAGAAAACTGACAAGAGTGGGAAGCTTCATTTAAGCTCGCTGTGATGGAATAGATGCCACTTACAACTTGCGGTGATACCTGTGTCCGGGATCAATGGCAGCACGTGGCTCCGTGCCTCACGTGTGCAGAGCGTTAGCTCTGCTTGGTGTGTACTGGGTGTTTATTTCCATAAAGTGTGTAGCTTCTACACGGCACTGTAAAATGAATGAGAGATGGCCATCTTTTGATGGCTGGTGTCGTATAATTATCTATTCATAGTAGCAGTCATAAATTGAATTGCTTCAAGATGTAGTGCAGCTTCTGTCAAGTTTATTTTAAATGTTGTGGATATGGCATTTTGATGATAATAGAGTTACTTTTTATCAAAGCCTGGAAGACTTCCCTGTATTGAATGTTCTGCAACAGACGCCCCTGTAAAGTCAAGATGTTTTTATAAAACACTATTTGAGCTCTGTTGAAGCTTTTGGGGATAATCACAATGGAGGGTGGCTAAACGCATGTTTAAAAGATTCATTATAAGCAGTTAAAAATCATACATACTTTGGTTTTAGATATCAGTGGACCCTACATAATATTAGGTCCAGTTGTGTATGAAGAGTACTGATTATGACTGGAGTATGAATTGAAGAGTTACAAAATTATGCTGCGCTGAGGAGAATGCATCTATAACTGATCAAAAAAAAAAGGGCAAAGTTAGATTTTTGTAACTTCTCAGCTTAAGAGTCTATCTTGATAGTAAGTTTGTAATACAGAAAGAGTGTGAAATGTGTTCAGCGTAATCAAATCAAAGGAAGTAAAGGACAGAATGAGGGCAGAGAAGAAAAAGTGCTGATACTCTTTGGTGTGTGTGCTTGAAGATTATGCATGACATTCAGTAATACTGTACGCATACTCAATATGAAAATGTAGCAGTTTTGGGGGGGAAAAAAATAAATGAATAAAGGTTTTCTGGTTGGTAGGCTGTTTCTACTACTTGATTCAAATCTGTACTGTGACTACAGTCATACCACTACAGCAGGCACTTGAAATGGGCACTCCAGAACAATAACAGCACTCAAAACTGATGGAGACGAATGGGTTTTGCTTCTCCACCTCTACGTTTCACTTTTCACCACAGGTAGATACTAATCTTTATATTCAAAATGTTGCAGTTGTGATTTATGATTAAGCCATTACTGTCTAATTATTCTGCTATGAAGTTTTAGTGAAGGCAAAGGCATCTACCTTTGGGAAGACAAGTCTGGGTAGCATGTGTCAATGTTACTCTGGATGTTCAAACAAGTGGATGAAAGAACCTATTGACAGTGAATGGAAGAAGAAATTTCAGTTAAAGGTGAAGCTGCTATCTCTAAGATTGAACTAATTAATCAGATCCACATCTGTGTGTGGATTGAGAGTGAGAAATGGGTTATTTTTTGACCTAATGCTTGGTAGAACTAGAGGCACAGATTAGTTTGAGAATGGTGTTGGTTATGTGCTAGTTGGAGGTCAGTGTAAAAGATGGAGGATGGCTGCTCCACCAGAGCCATCTGACACGTGTAAGAACAGTCTCCTCCTTTATGTGCCAATCTGTGTTACAGGAGAAAAGCTTTGTTGCTTTGACAGATTGCTGTTCCTAGACCTTTCTTCTTGGTACTAGAGCATAGTTAGCTATAGGAGCGGAGAAGAATTTGTTTCCTGCTTCTGTGTATATAGCCCAACAAGGTATTACGTGATAACTTGTCGCTACGTTAAGTCTTCCTTTGGCTCTTACTTTGTCTTGCACCAAGTTAACTGAAATGGCTGTTTGGAAAAGCTAATGCTTATTTGGTAGGCTTCTTGTTCCAATTTTTCTATTGTTATTTTCAGTCGTTTGGTGCAAGGGAAGATGCTTGGCGTGAACAAGAACCTATGACTATCTCTGTAGATTTGGGAAGGCAAACTTGCACACTTTTCTTTTGTATTTTGTTGCGGGCGGGGCAAAAAAAAAAATCACTCCTTGGGGGGTGAAAAGCCTTATAAGAACTATATCTTTTGGAGAAGCTAAGTTTGCTACTCAGCAAAGGTGACAACTGTGTCACCTTGGGTTCTTAAAGTTAATGAATGAGTGAATGAATGCTAATGTACCGCAGTATTCCTTCTGTCTTGTCATGGGAGAGAAGGAATAAAAGTAGTTACGGCCTTCCTGCCCCTGACAGCTAAAGAGAAGTATGAGAAGGATTATCATAAAAACTTTGCTGCTAGAGAATCACGCATTGCATAGTGCATCGAGGTTGCAATTTGAATGATTTCATTGTAGTTATGTCTCTTGCCTGGCCTTCTGTTTTTCGTGTCTGTACTTGCGTCATATTTACATCTCTGCCACTTTCTTCTTTCTTGGAGGTGAAGCCTGACAAATAGTGCAGTGGACCTTGGTCCGTTTCTAGCTCTGGCGCTATCTTGCTGATTGTCTATTGACAAATGACTTCTCTTGGTGACTTGTCAGCTTACTTGTCATTAAATTGGAGATCCTTAAATTTGCTTTGAGGTGAGAATGGTTCTAGGAGAGTAAAGCTTTCTTCTTGGCTTTAGGTCTCTGTGGGGTAAGGTGAGTTCAGAGAATAACCTTTGGTTTTATTGCTTCCACTAGAGGGAGCAAAATTTTTATCTGAAAATGGGCAAAAAATATAGGGTTGTTATTGCCCTTCATTTGCCATAGAAACAGATAAACTTAGCAGAGGAATAGCTGAGCAGGGGAGATAGGAGATCGACTACGACAATCTGTGAGCATCAACTTTTTGCATGGGCTGTCTGAGAGATTGATCTTGAGATCCTGGAGTATGGTCTGAACAACTGGATCAACTGAGCTAACTTCAGTGATTATCTCCTAGACAAGAGAAGAAAGATCATGGCTATAACTGCTAACAGTATAGCTATGTGAAGATGTGTGGACTGAATAAAATGTCATGCTTATGATTATGCACTCACTTAAAATCCAGGATGTAAAGATAAGAAATGTTTTTTCAACACAAGTGGGAAAAAAAAAGTCCTTGCTATTTCCACACTTGTCCTGTTTTTTTCACAGTCTGATTTTAGCTTTTATTTTAATAAATATGCTCATTTGTGTAGAATAAACATAGTTTTCTATGTGTGCCATCAACCTTCAAAGAATTTAAACCTACCTTTTTTTAATAAGAACAGGCATAAAAATCCAACTCCTCCTAAATGTGAACTGTATTAACCATATGAACT